TCGCTGCCCACGCCTCCCCGGCACCGCTTTGAGGGGACGGAGGCAGGCTCAGAAGTCTTCAATACCGACATCAACTGAGCCAGCTATTGTACGTCACGCGAGATCCGGCCTTTGTTCGACAAACGCCGCCCCACATAGGCTTCATCTAACATTATTGTGCAGTCACTGTTACTTCTTCATCCAAGATCTCAATTCTCACCTCACAGACGCCTTCGAATCGACCGGAGCCATGATATCGACAGGATTGCTCTCCGCCTTCGTGGCAACCTCACTGCTGTACCGGGCGACCGCGACCGCCATTGCCGACCCCGACCCCGATGGCACCAAAACTCAGACCGCCGCTGCGACCTACTCCGGCTCGCTTCACTCGACGACCGACAAGGGCTGCTTCTCCTCTTCCGAGCCGCTCGAAGATGAAGGTTACTACACGTACCAGACCACGGGCAATTGCCAGCCAATCTGTGTCGGTCTTGGGTTCCCAGTGATGGGTCTCGTGAACGGGAGCAACTGTTATTGCGGAGATTTGTTGCCGGCCAAGTCAAGCCAAGTTGACGACGACAAATGCGACACTCCGTGCAACGGTTACGACACGCAAACCTGTAAGTTCACGGACTGAATGAAGTCGCTAGGTCACATGACTGATTTTTCCAGGCGGTGGTGACAACTACTGGCAAGTCTACCTGACTGGTCTCAATAACAATGATGTCGACTACTACAGCGGATCATCGTCTTCAACTACAATTGCAGCATCGTCTTCAACCATCACCAGTGCAGGCACACCCATTGTCGTTACCGTAGGCGGAACCGTCATTGTCACAAAAGGCAGCGACCCAACAAGCTCATCATCGTCGTCGTCAAACTCAAGCTCGCCAAACAAGGCCGGCATCGCCGCAGGCGTCGTTGTCGGAGTCGTTGCTATTGCCGGAATTGTGGGTGGTGTATTCCTATACCTGAGGCACAGGCGCAGAAAGGCCGTGGAGGAAGAGTACAGGCAGAGACAGAACGTCAACAGCTTCGTTGGCGCCAAGGGCAAGACTGCAGCGTCTTCGGTAAATGACACTGTCCTCGACCCGGAATATGTGCGGAGGATGAGCCATGGCAGCATCGCAGACAACCAAGACTACTCAAGGAGGATCCTCCAGGTAAGCCAATTGAACCCACGTTTTCTACCAATTTTCTAACAAATCGCAGGTGAGGAATCCGGATGACTATTAGACGAATGCGCTGTCACGATTACGAATCTCCCTCCGTCTCATTTGACTCTTCTCCCCCACCTTTACTCAATACCAGCGCTCTACCGATGACTTTAGCATCCACTCCTCCTTGAACGAAACTGCCATCGTCGTCATCTCTGTATCATGTCTTCGGTGTTTTCGGTCAGCAAATGGCGCTTATCATGGATCGACGAGAGTCATGAAATTGTCTCGATGCTTCTTCGCCCCTCCGACATCCAAACACCGAGCGGCAGACGGACAATTTCGATCAAATCCTTTCGCTCGTGATGACTATTACTGTCTGCGTGTGATTTCACATCCTCGGTTCCCTCTGTGAATATATCTTTTTCTCTCCTGAACGGGCTTTTTGCGTCTTAAAGGCTGGGTAGATGGTGTTATTACTTTTTTCGGCGGAAATCACTACAACGGAACCGGAACAGGTCTCTCCTTTCAAAGTTCGTCCCATTCAGCATTTGCTTTAGCCACGTCACCGCCGCCACCACCACCACCAACACCACCGTCGACCGAATCGGGGCAACCATCACACTCTCTCGTCTTCTTACTCTCCTTGATGTCACCTTTTCCCAGGCTTCCGGACAGGACAACTTTTGCTTCTGGAGTCCTCATACCCTCTTGATTTTCCATCTCTCACAGCGACAAAAACAAACGAGTACCGCGTTGGAAGGAGGCATGCAGAGGGGGTGTAGGAAGTGCAGGGGACTTGCACTAGATCCCTGAGCAGCAACACCGGCAGGTCTCTGCCTCCGCAGACCATGTATCCGTCGACTCCGTTCAAGAAAAGTCTTTCTCTTCTCTTTCCCCAGCAGCAGGCTGGACCGGGATGGAATGCGCGGTGGAGGAGTGATTCCTGGCGCTTTCTTCTGCGCACCGCCATTGCCTGCGGCTGATTTTCTCAATCTACTACCCGGGACCACAATGCTAGCTTTGTTCACACTTCGACTTGAGTATGGGTAATGTGTAGCCGTCCAGAAAAGCGTCGAGTACCGTAGGGACAGGGGTAAAAACCAGAAGAACTCGAAAGCCCCAATGATACGGAGAAGCAATGGGATTATTCTCGCGGCAGCCACCAGGATCGGTGTTCCTCCTTGCTCTCTTCATCCACCTACCTCCTCTCTTTTTCTCTCCGTTTTCATTATTACTGCCAAGTTTTCTGGGGGGCACGGCTTGCTTTTGCTATATTCTCTTTCCTTTTTTGGTTCTCGATGGATGTGATGGACATATCAATCCACCCCCATCGGATATCTTTTTGGGTGGGAGATGGGAGGGAGGCGCGTGGTTGTAACTACGGAAATCTCACTGGAAATGGAAAGAAAATTTATAACTCTAAGCTTGATGTTCTGTGATGTTTGTGCGTTTTTATCCCTTGGGTTGTTGACAACCCGTGTGGGATGATCAAGTGGCCGGGCGTAGGTACTTCGACCTCTCCCGGCTATCTGCTACACAGGCTTACTTGGACTTCTCTGAAGGTTGGGTAGATTAACGTTACCCTCTAGCCTCTGGTATCTGCTATCTAGACTTACTTCAACGACAGGAACAATCAATACGTGACTTACTTCGAGATAGATAGAAACATGGTCCTGGCTTGCTTCAATTACCTCCATATCCAGGCCCTAATAGATCACTCGTGGTTTTTACAGTCCAACGGCACCAGGGATAAATGTGGTAGTGGTAGACGCCTTCCTTGCGGCATTTTTGGATGGCTTGGGAGGAGGTGGAGAGGCGCTCGATAGTGGCTTTTTGGCGTGGAAGATGGAAAAGGAGAAATGGCGCCGGTGATGTGGCTTGGACGGATCTGAGGCCTGGACTGTCGGTAGGAGTGGGGCGCTGTGGAGGGACGATGAAGATCACGATCTGCTTTCATGTGGGTAGGTTGGAGGCGTGAATGTGGATTAAAGGGTTGGTGCGCTGGACGTTATAGCGGAAACGAGCAATCTGGTTACTTGGTGGTGATTGATGTTGTGAAGTTTCAAGGTGCATTGGGGCTGAGTCAAGAACACCAGTCACCTAATAAATATCGTAGCATCATCACTACGGATACAATCACAGCAGGCATGTAGGTAATTTGATTCAAGGGTTTGATTGCAGCGGATTATCCGCAGGAAGTCGTCATATCGTAATGCCGTCATTATCGGATGTCAAGACATTCCCTTCGTCGGGAATCTAGTTGGAGACCTTGTCGGGGACGTCCTTGCCCGTAGCCTTCTCGAACATGCCGCGAGCACCGTCGGTCTAGGAGACGGTCAGTCAGGATGCAGTCCTTTTCCGGTGCAGAGAACAGTATCTGGTGTCAACGTACAATCTTCTCGTTCATGCCACGGTTCTTCTGGGAGTCCATGCCTTCCTTCTTCTCGGCGTAGTCGAGACCTGATGAGCGGGATTGTCAGCACTTGATCGTAGTAGGACTGCTTGCTGCTTTTGCTGCTGGCAAGGCGGGCGGTGAAACCTGCTTACCCTTGTCGAGGTAGTCCTCCTTCTGAGCACCGCCCTGCTGCTGCTGGTTGTTGGCGTCCATGTTGATCACGGTGGATTGGTAAAGTTGTTTTTGGGTGATTGGTAAAAGTAGTGGATGATGGCTTGGAGAGTTTGCGGATGAGGTCGAGGAGTTTGCGCAGTTGAGGTTGGTATAAGTAGCCCCCCCTTTGTTGTAGTGTGCTCACATGCTTTCAGGGAACGAGGGGCAGGGTGACATCATGGAGGCTAAGAAACAGGGCATGTAGGGCGGCCACGGTCACGTTACTGCACTCGTTACTGCACTCGTTACTGCACTCCCGTCACCACTCACCCACTTTCCCCGGAACCTAAACCTGTCAGCCTTGCCAGCCTGAAACCTGAAACAACCTGGAATAGATGCTCGCCTGTCAACTACGATCGAATGAGGTCATTGATGAGTCCGAACGCGACTAACCTTCATCCCACGTGTTATCAACAATGATGTACTCAATCCAATGATGTACTCAATCCAATGACTATATACTTGATTATTCCGTCCTGTCATATGTCGTCTGTGACTCTGCTGTCTCTGTTAATAACTCAAACAACGTCGATCCGGTTTTTGATCGACGACTCTCAGTTTTATGAGTACACTTGCTGCCCGATGGAACTCATCAACTCTCCTGGCATCAGCCCTTCGAAGGTGAAACCCGCTTGTGGCCTGATGCTATTCAATTGCTGCCACGATTTCCGCCGCTAACTTGCAAGAAGCTTTAAATGGTGCCTGCATGCGATGCCATCACCGGGAAAGCCCTTGTGGCTGCAATAGTTATGGGACCGAGCAGGCAGAATGCAGAAGAGATGTTGACCGGCCTACGCCAAAGACTAACGAACACACGGCCTTACTCTACCCCAAACAGGCTGCGTAGAAGGTTGGAGTGGGCTATTCCGCAAAAGTTCGACAAATCATTAGGGGCATCATTGGAAATACTACCTACTACGCTCATCTTCACAGGCTCCGTCTCTCTCTGTCTCTCTATTCACGAACGGTTGCACACTTACCATCCTCTACTTGCTCACAACGCAACATCAGTTGCCTCTCAACACCGGAGTTGACGTACCAGTTCCCGTTGGTGGGGTAGCTCCTCTGGACAGCTGTGAGCTTCCCGGAACCTCGCTTGTGTTGGGCAGATCCACGGATCCACACACAAAGCTGGACTACACAAATCCTGTACAAGATCACACACTCTACTACAATTGTAATCTATATAATATGTAATAAAAAATGTTATTCAACAATCAGCAAGCCTCGCAAGTTAGCTGATCTCCTCACAAGTCGAGGTGGTGTAGTTGGTTATCACGTCTGTCTAACAGATCCACTCCTCTCAAGAGTGGTCTCTGGTGCACAGAAGGTCCCGAGTTCAAGTCTCGGCTTCGATATTTTTGCGCGTTGATCGTACGACGCCGTTCGGATCTGCTCTTTTTACCCCATAATTTCCGTTGATCTCTTGTGAGGCGAATGCTGAGATGGAATCTGGCACTGTAGAATTTTCTATTCGTTGACAAACGTCTCGCGAACCACTGCTTCTCCATCTCTCTTTCCCTTCTTCTCAACAGCTACTCTCCGGCACACCATTGAGACCGCTTTCTTTCGGCCCTGTGACGGCGGTGGCAGAGTGGATGATGAGCCAGATACTCTTGCATTTTCCAAGATTCAATACATATTCGCAGACGAGGACTGTACTCCCAGCTCAGCAGACAATACAACATACATATTCCCCTCATAACCTCTGTGTAATTGTAACCCGAAGAGGACTGACAGAAGTGATTCTAAGAAGTTTGGTCTACACTGTGAGCTGTTCTTTGCATCATTCGGTCTCAACGCAAGCGGATTTGTGGCAATGGAACGAGGCGCGGTCAATTTGATCGTGGTCGGACTGCGCGATTGAAGCATGCCAGGACTACATCTACGTCTCAGGAAACAAGCCCTAGTCCACTTTCTAGCTTGTCGATGCAGGTATAGACAGAGATTAGCAGTCAAAATAAGCCCTGACAGCAAATAGCTAAGAAGGATCAGAGTGCGCCCGGCTACGACTAAATTGCTCCAGAGCCTGGTGTTTCTTGTCCGAAGCCTGATGCACAGCGTCAAGAAACTCGGAATCGAAGCCAAGTACCACATAAAATGGTCTACCGGGTTGTAACATCTCCGTTGCCCATGGCAGAGTCGACAAGACCTTCCATTCGTGTCGACATTCTTCTCCGGTTCCTTTACATCCGCAAGCGTCAAGTATACCACCAAGAAATCCAGTGGACATCCACGACATCCATACTCAACATCAACAAACAAAAGCCTTATCACTGCCTCCACACCCACCGCGCATGATCTGCCCAGCCAGCCGGCAACTTGCATCCGGCTCGGCTCCACCAACCCCTCCCTCACCCACCCTCATCCGCGCCCTCCACGCACGCCACCTCGCTTTTGATCTTCACGACGTTCGACGCCGAACCCATTAGCTCTCGTCCCTCCCGCCGTCCCCACGCCCACTCATTGGCGGAGCCGGCCCCAGCGGCAGCCATCGACTTGGCAACGCCGCCGGAAGAAAAGACCCTTGGCGGATGGAGATGGAGATGCGATAACGTCAAGGTGAGAAATCTGGCTCGCGCTAGGTAGATGTTGCCAAAGTATTTTTTTTTTTTTTTCCCTTCTACTGCGGCTGCTGCACGTGCCCTGCAGAGACGACCGGAATTCAAGCGCGGCGCGTTCGACGGCGAAGGCTATTTTGGGCGTGTTGCATGACGCTGCTTGTTGTGTGTGTACGCGGCGTGGCTGTCGAGACGGGCCGGGTGACAGCCGCAATGGGATGCACTGGACGATACAAGTTGACAAGTACCTTTGAGTTTGGAAGGACCACTGTGTTTTGCCTGGGCGGAAGCACCAACACGCAACGTTAGGCTCCTGGAATGGAGCGAAGCGCAGCCGAGTGGAGCATGTTGACGTTGTTGTCGAGGTAGCATTTGGTGACTTAGGCATGTGGCGAGTGCTCTTGGCTATTTTTCATCGCCGCTTCTATCTCGCCTCAATGGCTGGCTCGAGAGGGGTCCATTCCGTGTACTTACTGTGTTGCAATCGCCTGTTGTTCATTCAGTGATGCCATGATCATCTTCTAGTGACACATGTTGTGGCCAGGGAAAGTTGAAGCAAGCCAGAGTCACGCCACTGCCCTTCTCGAAGCGCGCTCTGAATCCCCTTCCTGGGTTGTTGAAGCAAGTCCAGACACCGGTTGCGGGCAGTAGAAGTAGATCTGCCCTCCCCATCCCAAAGAAGTCGAAGCAAACCCGCACAGCAGCTACACCAAGAGGACGAAGTGCGCCCAGCCACGATCAAACTCACTGACCGGGTCCGCTCCCTCGGATGTCCCGAATGGGCAAGTTGACGTGGTTGGCTGGATCACTGCTTCGTCTCCGTTCATCAAGGGTGCCGTGATTGTGAAACGGGCCTCGCACGGCGGGCACCCGGGGCGGGTTGGTTGATTGCGTGTATGGGAAGGACCAACACGACGTGCGCAAGCCCAATCCAAGCGGAAACCTGACGTGAGACACGGCTGTTCCATGTCAGCACTGCGCCCCGAAACGCTTCCTCCCAACGAAGAAGCGCACATGGGGATGTTGCCGCCAGCTGAAACCAATTAAAACGATAGCAGTCACATCTGTAGGAGGGACAGGATATGGAGTTGGAACACGATGGATATTATTCTAATAGTTTCAAACTCTCCAATCTGTAGTAGCGAATACCACGCGCAGGAAGGAGCAGCAGCAATCCGTGGTGCGTACACAAAAGAGTCCCTTTCGCATCATCCAAACAGCGCCTCTCCCAAAGGTGTGGGAGGAAAACTTAGACTACTACTGAGACCCGCATTGACGACCGAAGCCCCCCGAAACGCGGCATTTCAGTGATACCCAAGAAACGACGGGGAAATAAAAATGCAGAGCGCTAAATCAGACCCATTTTAAGAGTGTTGGCTTGCCACAACTGTACAAAACGAGCAATGGAGAACCGAACTTCTCAAACACCTTACAACAGGATCATGCCAGCGCCGGTGATGACGGCGCCGAAGACGTAGACGCCGAGCTGGAGAAGACCGGAGTTGACGCCAGGGACGGTGAGGCCGGCGGCGGCGCCCTTCGAGGAGGAGCTGGAGCCGCTGGAGCTGGAGGAGCCGGAGGTCTTGGTGGGGACGGAGGTGACAGTACCGGTACCAGCGGAGCCGGCCTGGTTCATCAGGGAAGCGCAGGTGCCAGTGGCCTTGGTGGCATCCTTGGTGGTACCAGAGCCGGAGAAGGCGCAGGCAGAAGAGGCAGAGCCCTGGGCAGAGTAGTACTGGTTCATGGCGAACGCGAGCTGGTAGGTAGAGTTGCACATGCCGTACGAGCCGTAGTCACCGGTGGTGGCGTTGCGGGCGATTCCGAGGCAGGCCTTGTCGTCGAGACCGCAGACGGTGCTGAAGAGGTCACCGTAGTCATCGGTGTCGACGGAGGAGTCAACAACGCAGCCCAGCGAGTCGTACATGCACTGGCAAAGGGCAGGGTTGGCGGTAGGGGGCAGAGGGCTGGCGGTGGCGGCCCAAGAGGTACCGACGGCCGGGCAGTCCTGAGGAGCGGTGTTGGTAGGAGTGTAAGAAGCCGAGTTCACGCCGGTAGGGGTGGCCTTCTGGATCTGGCTGGAGTAGTAGCTGAAGTCCTTGAGGGTGCTGACGGAAGTGCCGGAGACGGAAACGAGACCGTAGTCGTTGGCCTCCTGGAAGTACATGTAGACGATACCGCCGGACCAGACATCGTTCATCTTGGGGCCGAAGAGGACGGGGGTGTCGGTGAAGGTACGGGGAGAGACGGAGTTGCAGCCGTACTCGGCGAAGAAGACGGGAACGGAGTAGTTGGCAAACTCCTCGGTGCGGACATCGTAGCCGGACTCGGTGTAGGAAGAGTCACCGCACCACGAGTAGATGTTGTAGCCCCAGAAGTCGATCGAGTTGTCAGTGTCGTCGCCGCAGTTGAAGTAGTCAGCCATGTTGACACGGATGCTGGCGTCGTCGTTGGTAGCGTAACCAACACCAATGGTCCTCAGGCCCTGGTCCTTGATGTATGCCTTGGAGTCGCGGACGGCAGCCTTGACGAAGGCACTGGCGTCGGTGTTGTTGGGCGAGTTGGAGACTTCGTTACCGGCGAAGAAACCGAGGGTGTTGTTGTACTGGGCCATCACGTCGATGACGCTGGTGTAGCGGTTGTACAGGTCGGTCGTCCACTCGGGGTCGGAACGGTCAATGGACTGGCTGGGGCTGGACAAGTCGGCAATGACGTAGATGCCGGCGTCCTGGAGCATCGACATGCACTCATCGTGGCTCTCGTCGGGGTTGATGGCGTAGACACGGATGGTGTTGGTGCGCAGCTCCTGGAGGTAGGGGATGTCGCGCTTGCAGCCGTCGGCGTCGGTCAGCGGGTCGGTGTAGTCGGAGTTGGCCGAGGTGCTGTTGCCAGTGACATCCTGCTGGTAGGCGACACCACGGATGTAGAACTGGGTGCCGTTGTTGGAGTAGAAGAACTTGGAGCCCTGGTGGAGAGATGTCAGCGCATGTCGGGCAGCGCATGTCGGTCAATGGCGCGACCGGGAGTAGAAGCGCACCTTGATGACAATGGGGGCAACGTCGGCGAGGGCAGAGCCGGCGAAGAGAGCTGCCGCGGCAGCGGCAACGCCAAAGCTTCTCATGACGGACTGTCTGGTTGTGATGATGCGGGGGAAAGGGCTTATGTGTGGTGGTAGGAGATGCTGCTTAGGCGGGATGGAGTTTGTGGTGGTGTAGTGTGAGCGATAGACAGGCGGCTCAAGAGCTGCGGAAGGAGAAAACGAAGGTGGGGTGAAGGAGTGTGAGAAAGTGCGGAAGCTGGGAAGAGGGAAGAGGGAAGAGGGAAGAAGAAAGAAGCAGGTGTGGTGGAGGCAAAGAGGCAAAATATGGAAGCGCGATGGATTTGAGGTGTTCTATGAGGCTGACCGGGGGGATGTCGCCTTCAGGGGACGCTGGCGCTCCGAAACGAGCCAAGTGGATCTCGCCGTCGACGCCGCCCAGTGGCCGCCCAGTGGCCGTCCAGTGGCCGTCCAGTGGCCGCCCAGAGCTCGTACGCGCAATCACAGTCACAGGCACAGGAAAAAAACACGGCGGAAGGGTCGGCACTGCTCGTCCTCAGGCCCTCTCCACGGCGCTGCGGTGCTCTGCAAGCGGCTCTAGAAGACCACACCAGCCTTCCACCACCGACCACTGTGGACAAGGCGAACAATTGAACGTATCGAACGCACGCATCGAACGCCCCGCTGCGTGCCGGCCTGCCACCGCTGCCACCGCGGCCACCGCTGCCACCGCTGCCACCGCTGCCAACCCGTCCTTTCAGCG